AACTAGCTCACAACACCTTAAAGTTACTTGAATACAACCGTTAACATTTTCAGGTCATTCTAAAAGAATATGCGCTGCTCCTACTACCTCTAGTAATATCCCAGTACATATAATCTAATGGCTGGGACAATAGAGTCATCTGCATATGCTATATATATCCCTCAACCTGAGAGGGAATTGAGACATGCATTTAAGTATTGGTTATGTAATGTCACCACGTAGTCAGTGTTAAACTGTTAAACTTTTTGCCCTCTTTTACAGGCCTACCTAAACATCGGTTCCAGCACACCATAATCGACTTACACCACCTTTAATATAACTCGGCTTATTGTATACGACCACAAATGTAATCACACATTGGCGCCATTGCGTCACTATTTGGGGCGGAGCATGCGTGCGCATACGCCCGGGGACTGGCAGGATGCTGCTGATTATGCACAGTACCTGGGTGAGTCTTATTTCACTACTTGTAGTATGTATATATTTGTTTGTAGCACAGTGTTTTAGTTATGCTGATCCTGAAGAAAGTTCAGTATATGGACTGAAACATTGATTGTTTTAACTTGACTTAATAAAGAAGTGATTTTAAGGAAGATCGTGAGTGCAGCTAACTTTACCTGTTTTTCTGGATATCAAGCCACAGTGTGCACCCAGCATCATTTTGCAAGTTTGGCCTAAGTGCAGAGATTTCCGAATATATATATATATATATATATATCTTGATAAAGACCGCGAGACGGTCGAAACGTTGATTGGTATGTTCACTATTTAATATAAGCAATTTTTATTAAGTCCAGTGAGTGCTCTCGTTTTTCGCTTTTTCTATATTGATACAGAGAAGCACCTTGGTGTTTATAACTTTCCAACATTTTTGGGCAGAGTGACAGAGTTTGGATGTTTTGTATATATATATATATATATATATATATATATATATAATTAAATCGTTTTTCTCATGATGTTCATCTTGTAGTATGAAAAGGAAATGCAGGGAAGCCTCGCCTTCATGAATGTCCTCAAATCCAGATAGCCATGGACCAATATAAGGAATAGGAGGAGAAAGCAGAATATTAGTATTTAGGTAGCTGGTAATTGTAGATAAAACAAAATACATTTGCAATTTTCTGGAGCCTATGTTTGCGCCTGGATGGTACAATCCCCATCCATGGATATGTAGATGGTCTCAGTAGTATGTTGGGAGGCGTTTTCAGCAGCTGTGCAAATATCCTTTTTCAGTGCACCACAATGTAGCAGTCGGAAGGCATTGGTATATAAAATGCCACAAAAAAAAATAAAGAATCTAGTGCTCTCTGTGTTACTAAAATATATAAAAGGATAAAAAGGAGGTATACTCACAAAATGAAAGCAATGTCAGGTATTGCTCAATCCTAATAGGCATAGGTGGTAAAATCTCCACCAGGGAAATCACTGAGCTAATCATCCGATTAAAATCTTCAAAGGTAAAATTAGGAAGGTCCAAATTCCATAAAATAATAAAACCAAAAACAGTATAAAAACACTAACGCGTTTCACCAACAATAAAGCTTTTTCAAAGTGTTGTTGCATTTCTTTTTCTATCTGCGATATTTCCAGAAGAAAGAAACTCTGGTTTGGGAAGTTCAAGCTGCCACATGCATAACAAACAAGCACCAGAAATAGTGCAAATAGGACAAAATTATTTTTTAACCGTTTTAAAGGAAGGATGTCACTGAATTTACCTGTTGAAACTGAATTTACTTGCCACGACCTCCAATCACGTGGCAAAAGAGAAATCAATCAGGATCGTGAGATGCCCCATGCAGAAGCAGCATAAAATTGCCCTACACAAAAAAAACATAAAGAGCACAAAATCATTCAATATGATGGATGTGCCAATTTAATATTAGACATTAACAATCACCATATTAGTCAAATTGAGGCCCGAAGTGACCAGCCTATCATGTAAACGAGGCCCAAAATGCAAAGATACCCAAACAAACTTCAAACATGCACCAACTACTCAGTCTAATAGAGGTTTTAATAAACAGGTCCAATTTGAATATATAATAGGTTTAAAAAAATAAATAAAATAAAATAAAGATATTAAATGCCAATAATAACAAAAATATGAATGTTAGACTGTATAACATAGTGTCTATTAGGTTAATGTAGTTGAGAATATAATTTTTAATCAGTTTTCAATATTTGTAGCTGTGTACTTGAACATATTGACTGAATATATATGAATATATATATATATATTATTATTATTATTATGATATTTATAGAGCGCCGTCAAATTCCGCAGCGCTTTACAATGGGTGGACGAACAGACATGTAGTTGTAACCAGACAAATTGGACACACAGGAACAGAGGGGTTGAGGGTCCTGCTCAATGAGCTTACATGCTAGAGGGAGTGGGGTAAAATGACACAAAAAGGTAAGGATAGTATTAGACTAGTGACAGTTGCAGAAGAGGAATCAGTCAGGAGCTATTAACAGTTTAATTGATACGCTTTTATGAAGAAGTGGGTTTTTAACGATTTTTTGAAGGAGTGGAGACTGGGTGAGCATCTAACGGAGGAGGGAAGCGAGTTCCACAGGAACGGTGAAGCCCTCGAAAAATCTTATATATATATATGTAGTTCAAAATATTCTTTGCTTTATAAGATTATTTAATATCATAAAAAACAACTGCAATATAAAGATCCCTTCCTCATTATATTTTGAATGTGTGTGTGTATTTTAAATTTGTCTTAAAAAAAGATTGTATATTTAAGAAGCTGTTATTGATATCTAATTTAGGGCTCCCTTGGTCCCTTGGTATGTTTCTACATTTTAGTTTACTATGGATTGTAATCTTGCATGCATATACTTTGCATCCTTCTTTTTTACTTTTACTGTCTCTTTAAAACTCTTTAGCGCCGGGGAATATATTAGTTATATAAACAACAATATTAAACATTCACAAGTACCATATATATGTGATAAAATAATTTTTATCTATTTCTTTATCTATTTATAGTAAGGCATTTTGCTTTGGAGCTCATTAAGCAACTGGTATAACTGGCACATATCCAAATGAATTCCATTTCTGTATTTGAAAAAATAGTGAATATATATGCAAATGAACTTGCTGTGCCTTAAAAATAATTAGTACTTTGTGAATTCAGCCTTCGATTTTTAGCACTTTTAAAAAAAAATCTAATATGTACTGCTTCCTGTGTCCGCATTGCAGCGCTAAATTCTGCCAATCTTCCACAGCCAGTATGTTTGTATTGGACAGAATGTTCTGGAAAGCAAGCAAACCGATAAAACTATCATCGTACTGATCCAAGTATAAATCCAACCTTTAAAAGACAACTCAATTTTAACACCTGAGAAAAACTAATTGTGTTCATTACCATATGTTATATTTAGTATGAATGTAAAAATTATATTGGAAAAGCAGAAGGACATTTGCTGACTGAAAATAATATCCCTAATGCACATAGAAAACAACAGAAAACTGTGAAATATCACTGGTCAGGCCCAGATTCCATTTCTCTTCAGATGGTGAATTTATTTCTATTTCAAGGGTGTCGACATTACAATTTGTATTACGGAGACGGTTTTGATGTAAATGTTAGGCTTTTTGAATGCTTTTTTTTGGACCATGAAAAGCAAAACAGGGAAAAGTCCATACATTTAAATATCAATTTCACTTTTAAAAAAGTCAGTCATTTATACCACTTTAGTGACCACTTTAGTGCACCAGTCTAGTGACTTAGCTGGTCAAACAGCAAATTAAATTATAATTTTTTAGGTCAATAGTCAATCATGCAGACATTATCATGAGTTTAAGTTGGTCTTCGACAAAGCAATAGTGGAAGACTGGTGATCTAGAAAACCTTGACCGTTGTTTGATTGTTGTTTGCCAGTTGTGATTGTTTCAGCAGCTCAGAAACTGAAAAAAACTGCTCTCTTTTCTTACACTGCGGTCTCTGGAGAGTTCAGAGAATGGTACTATAAATAAAAGCATATACTGGTTCTCAGAACACTAATACCTGCTCAAGAGAGTGATCTAATGATAAAAAAATCACAAATATTAATATAACCACTCTTTAAAATAGTTATGTGCAAAAAAGTCTCTATGAAAGCACAACACATTAAACATCAAAGTGGTCGAACTACAGAAGCAGAGGTTCCACTTTTTTTTTTTAGCTAAGAACAGGAAGGCGAGGTAGACACATTTGTGTGAGCAACATATTGTATTAGGGTGGGCTCAAAGAGAAATTTATCATCTAAGCTATATATGTATAGAAAGTCATGCTTCTGCCTTCAATAAAACACAAAATCATTAAACAAATGTCCATTGAGACCTAAACAGGGAACAAGTAAGGCAGAAAAGTAAGTGAAGAAAATGAAACACTCACAAAAAACATGTAGCCGCATGTCCAAAATTCAATAAGCATGGATATACTGAGTTTCATCATACCTATGACAGTTCAATATGTGCAATAACAGGGTTACCTTCTTGGTGCTGGAATCCTCCCAGTAATCAAATGGTTTCCCACAGGAAAAGTTTCTTGATCCGCACTTATACGGAATCCTCAAAAATACATCAGGATTAAATCGTAGAAAAAGAATGCACATTTATTGTAGTCCAGAAAGAAAATACATATGCAAGATACTAAAACAGCAGTCCTCATGTATGCTGTATTGGTCCAAGCATGTGAAAAATGAAAAAAGGTTGTGAGCTCCGGGCTTCTCTAATCTTGCTTTAAGGTCGGGTTCTTTGCTGGTCCCTCCCCTGTGCAGCAGCTGCTGGTGGTCCCCTACTCGGGTTTTGTACTTTTTATACTTTGTACACTCACAACTAATAACTAGGGGGCCGGGGCCAAGCATCAAGACTGATCAGACGCCATTTCTAAGTGTTGCAGTCCCAAAATATCTCAATCTGTCTAATATCACCTGATTTCAGCCACATCGACCCCCAGCAGAGCCTAATCGCTGTACAGGAGCACACAGGGTACACTTTCATGCCCTTTACTCATGACTCAAAGGCCAAATTGTACCGTAAGACCAGGAGGACTCTGAGGAAGGCCGCTGAATATGCCAAGGCCTTTACTGGCTGGGCCTTGTACTCACCTTCACCCGAGGAAGAGCCGATGATGGTGATGATAGGCCGCACAAAGCCTAAAACACCGTCAGCTTCTCAGGGGGCGAGAGACATCGGCAAGATCCTCTCTGGCACAACGAGACCGAAGCCAGTGGAATGGGTAGAGAAGGAGCACTCCACAAACCCATCAGATGATGAGGTTAGTCAGCCTCCAGCCAGGCCTAGCCACTCTGTCCCGCTGCCTCCCAGCAAACATGCTGACTCACAACCCTCCGCTCCCTCAACCAAGCAAGACATATCGAATCTATATGATCGCATCAGAAAGTTATTCGATGCAGACATAGCTCTGGTAAAGCAAGAGGTACAGGTCATCACTGAGCAGGTGAGGGTCACGGATGAAGACGTGACAGACCTCAAACAAGGTCTCTCGGCCCTGGAGGAAACAGTGCATAAATTGCAATCCACGCACACCAACACTAACCTCAGAGTAGACTCCCTTGAGGATAGAGGCCGGAGGAAAAATTTGAAAATAAGAGGGGTGTTGGACATAGTGGCATCGGAGGAGCTACCCCACCTCATACGAAGATTGCTGGCCTCAGCATTGCCTGCAAAAATGGCAAAATCGATTGTGCTAGATGGTGTCTACCAAGAGCATCCACTGCCTCCTCAAGAGACATTATAGTCTGATTCCAAGATTATGCAGATAAACAAAAGCTCCTGCAGGCACTACGTTATAAAGCACCCTTGTAATTTGAAACTCACCACCTTACCTTCTATCAAGATCTCACCCGCTCCACCTTGCAATGGAGACAAGCCATGCGGCCCATCACCCAGAGGTTGCAAGACGCAGACATTCTGTGACCTGATTTATAAGAGTCTTATATTTGGATTTTTGTTATAAAGTTTCTTTAGTTTGTTTATTTTAGATGATTCATTACATATCTCCCACATATCCCATTATAGATGGCCCACGGACAAGCGGGACAGAGACCACTACCCTACGAAACAGCCCATGGTGAATTCGCATAAGCGGACCTGTAATAAAAGCCCACATAAATCCTTAGACCAGATTAAGGTACACTACACCCCTCTCCCCCCACTGCCCCCTTGGTTAGGGTCTCCTACGACTCCACATACGCACTGTGAACAAGGACACATGTTGATCATACCCATATCACCCAGGCCACCCAGATCGCCAAATACTAACTTGGGTGAAGCCCAGCCTTTTTCTTTTCTTTTTTTTTATCCAGGGCAGGCCCACAAAGTGGTATATATTACATGTTTATTTCAGACATTAAGACTGCATCGCACACTCACTCTTAACAATACGTCTCTACCTAACAATACAGAGTGTAGATGATGGGTTGGATGCTACCACTAAGTTCCACTTAATACAGCTGACTAGCAAATCAGTGCACCCACACTAAACCCAGCAGTCACAAAGGATTTATAGGATATTTTAGCCTATCTTACTTTATTTAAACAACCGTTCTCACACTAGGCTTGCCAGTTGTATAGACTCTGAAAATTTAAAAATGTGCTGTTAACTCATATGTCACAAAAATATGTATATGTATCTGACTAAGCTTGCAACTGCTATTGTGGCACCACAGGCCAATTTGTTATAACGAAGTAACTAAACTGAAAGAAGAATGACTAAAGAAAAACATCGTGTCATAAATACCAATTACTTCTGAAACATGTAATTGGCAGTGTCAAAATGTCGCAGAAATCATATGAAGTGCAAAAATTAAAATACATCCATTACAAGATACTATCTATATTTTAGTAGTGTCAAAGCCTCATAATAAACTCTCTTTTTCAGTTCATGTCTACTGCAAAGAATTCAGCCACCAAATGTTGATTACATGATGTTTACATAATGTTTATATTATTATAAATTTCACATCACACTGATTGACCCATTTCACACTCTTTTTGGTTTGTCCCTCTGTTTCCAGGAATATTTTTCCATGGATGATATTCAGCAGAACCAAACTGCCTGTCAGGAACCTGTGTTTTGATGTTATTATCTCTTTAAATAATTCTGTTCTTTCCCTTTTAGCTCACAGCTACACTAACAATAAAAAACCTATTAAGACTGCTCTGTCAGTGAAACTGTGCACTCTTAATGAGCTGCCACCAGCCTGGCATGCTCCTGTGCCTTGCATGTTGCTACTAACTTATTTCTCAGGTCTCAGAAACTCCAGATCAACTCAGAACTGATTTTCTACTTACCTCTCCTGGGATTCCTTTAGAATCTGTAAAGTAAGTCTTTATACTCTCCTTGTTTTCTGCATTTCTCCATTGAAAGCTAAATTAACTTTTTTTTTTTCACTCAGCTACAGCCAGCCAGTTTACCAGCCTCTATATTTATGCATTGCTTTCTGCAAGAATCACTGAATTCCCTCAAGACTTATGAAAATCCCCATTTTCTGTTACAGTCTTACATTTGAACAATATAAACTTCTATATAAACTTTACTAATAATTGGTTAATTAATCTACAAGGTGAAGCAACCTATTTTATTTAGCAAGGACTTCTTTCTTTTTTCCTTTAAATTGTCAGTCTGATTCAGACTGTCTGATTTAAGAAAGACTTTCATGTTTTTTTTCCGATTTTAGCCAATAAAAGTCTTTGCAATCTGATAAACTTTTTTCCTGTTTGATCTGTAAGGAACAGGAGTGAATATGACACCGCCACATGAATAAGCAAAATCTCAATTTTGGAAAAAATTATTCAGCCAAACCATACTTTCCCACCCATGCACAAGTCTATTCTACATAACTAGAAGAGATAATTCCATGCATTGGTTACTATAAGGCAGCACAACTTGGACCCAGGAGTTCTCGAGACCCACGCTTTTTGAACATTATTGAAATTGATTAACTGGTAATGTGTAATAAAGAGATATTTATATTCTAGAGTTTTTAATACAGAAATATTTCTTCTCAGAAAGATGTAGCATGAAACTAGAAGCCAACTAGGGTGTCAGCCTCTAAGTCTTCAAGTGCAACCAATCAGAGTGCTCTGAGTAATTTTACAAAGTGTGGGAAAGTTCTTTGGAATTTTCTTCTGCTGTGTAATTTGATTCATAACAACACTCTAAATGGTTGGCTTGGAATGCAGTGTTCTGAGTCATTTTAACCCTGTAAGGACCAAACTTCTGGAATAAAAGGGAATCATGACATGTCACACATGTCATGTGTCCTTAAGGGGTTTAACAGCATGGAAAATTCCAAAGAAAAATTACTCAGAGCACTCTAATTGGTTAGATTCCAAGCCAACCAATAAGAGTGCTCTGATAGGTGAATAGTGAGCCTTACAGGTACCCAATCAGGTAAGGCTCACTATTTAACTATCAGAGCACTCTTATTGGTTGGCTTAAACCAACCAATTAGAGCACTCTGAGTCAAATTTAAGGGTGTGGGAATGCTTTATAAGACTTTCCCCACCCTGCGGAGCTCAGTCTGTGCGGTGCCCCACCTTTTAATTTTGGGCCCCCACCCGCCGCACATCGGTGGAGGTCAGGGGGGGCAATAGGACCCCGTATCATCTTTGGGTGGAGGCCAGGGAGGGGGAATAGGTCAGGGAGGGGAATGGCTGGGGGGCAAAATAACAGATGAGAGGATTCACCATAGTGTTCACTGTTTAGTAGATATGCCTCTACTCACGGCATATCAAGTAGGGGCATTCGGAAGATTTAAAACTCCCTTATGCTAACATAGAGGTCATATTGACCCCCATAGAGTCATGGAGAACATATGGGGGGTAAGGAAGTGGCAGGGAGCACAGCTCCCTGCTGCTTCTATTTTTACATATTACAAGGAAGGAGCTGCGAGCCTGCAGTTCTCTCCTTGTAATAAACGAACGAACGAACAAACGAACACGACATTCGCTCTTTGTTTGTTCGTGTGAAATTTCTATTCATTCATTCGTCTTTCTGACGAATTTATGATTGAGGGTCATTTCTGATTGGGTATGAGAGCAGGGAAGTTACATTCCCGGCTCTCAGAATCGGCTGGCTTGGGGACGTGGCTTAAAGCCGCTCTTCAAAGTCTTCATAAAGAATAAAGAAAATGATTTGAAAAATAAGAGAAGGATGAAAATATTTAAGGTACTCTAACAAATTAAATGAGATGAAGTTGTTACAGTGCCAACAGTGTTCCTTTAATGTAAGTGATACATTACAATAGTTTACATTCTGTTTCAATTTTTAATAAACATTAAGTATGTTTCTCTCTTTTAATCTCACTATTACCAAAATCCTGTATGCATGGTTTTTCTTTTTTTCTGCTTTGCAAAATAGTGCAAAATTATATTTAGTTCAAAATGACTCAATTGTCTTTTTTCTCAGGAAATGGAGATTAGATATAAAGGAAACGTGATAATGTTTTTAGTCAGGAGTTTTTTTAAGCATGTATAGCAGTTATTAACATACTTTTAACATACTCTGGGTATGTGGTAATTGTATATCGCTGTGCTTTTCTTGTCTTGGAATCTATTGACCTGCTAGTTTCTACAGTGTATCGGCCATTAAATGGCTTGAGCAAGTACTAAGGGCTATTTGTAAGAAGAGTTTAATATCAAAACTAGAGTTAGTTGATTTCTGAAAATAAAAACATAAAATAAAAAAAAATAAACATATAAAAAGTGTACATTTTGAAAAACTGACAATATGTAAAAAAATGGAAAGCTGCTAAAATCTAGTGTAAAATGTGTTTTATGAACGTTTTAAAGAAAACTCTGTATATCAAATATTAGTTTAAATTACTTTTTTTATTCTAACACTAAAGCCAAGCATTTATTTAAAAAAATGACAAATACTTACTAATATATCAGTTTATTTACTAACTTTACAGTCAACCCAACTGAAGACATATTTGGTCATCAAACCTGTCTGCACATTTGGCCCTACGCATGTCATGGTCATCAAAAATACAACAGACAGAAAACTTGGTCATAATTTTGGCCAAATCACTAACCAATTTCTCAGTTATAAATGTGGCTGCCAATTTTCTCAATTTAGAATCTGGACTCTTCAGACCCAAATGCTGCCAAATATCGAATGAGGTAAAAGATTTGTATGCAGCAGTTGAAGACAAAATAAAAAGGGAATTTGTGGTTGTCCAAATTCATCTCTTCTATTATTTGTTCAGGCAACTCACATCTAGATAAAAAGCCAGGATAATTCTTCAAAGCATTAACCCCTTCACTATCAAGTACATAAACAAATTAACATAGCTTTTATTTTAAACACAGAAAACATTGCTAGCACCTAGATATACGATAAAATAACAAATTTGTTTACAGACATATGTTCAGAGATATATAAAAATGAAAATTATGTAAATTTTCCAACATGGTGCTTTTAGCTTGTTT